CTTCATTTATCTCTTTATACATTAAATGAATTCAAAGGGCAGTTTCACTGCTCTCCGATGAGATCTTCAAAACAAAAGCTCTAAATGGAGCAGTTTATTCCTCTGGTATTTCACAGAGGATGAGGAAAGAAAAAGTTCAAAGTTCCCAAGATCTTATAATCCCCATGCACACTCTGATGTCCTCACTTATAACATGTAGATACTCAGTAGATATTGTAGATACATGTACATGTAGATATTTTATGTAGAAATAACAGTTCTTTAACATGTGTTCCTCGCTTAGAAATGAAAAAGAAGTTTATAATTCTTCCAGCAGATTATCATCATGGTGTTCATTTTTTATGAATAATCTGATGTGTTGTCTCAGTCCACTGAGCTGTGGTCCCGTCAAAGAGCATTCTTTCCGAACTTCCTCCTTCTTCATGTTGCACAGAGGCCATTAAAGAACTGAAGGCATTTATTGCGCAGTTCAAGTAACCAGAGTAAGTACAGAGAGTGTCTTTGGTTGAAACCCGGTCCGTTCTGCAGGCTGCAGACAGAGGCCCAATCCCAAAGTCCCCCCCTACACCCTTAAACCCTGACCCCTCAGGGACTTACCTGACGTCAGCTGGTATGTGCTTGAGTTTGCAAACGTGCAAGGGCTTGAAATGGAATAAATACCTATTTGACATTACTTTGTAGCAACATATTGCGTTACCTTGATCACACTAAAACATGTTATGTACAATTGTGGGTTTTTATTTTACGTTTTCACTCCCTGATTTGACCAATCTTCCAGGCTCTTGCCTTATGAGACCAGAAGTCGCTAATTGTCAAATCCATTTGCTTGTTTTTGTAAAAACAGCTTTAGTTAGCAAAACTAAGAGAAATGTTTGATGTCCCATAGAGAGCCGTGGGACAGCACCACAGACGGACTGCACGTAGCCCTCTCGGACTTTGCGGAAACGGGCAGTGTGGAGTAATTGTAATTTATTATATTTTGTATGTGTTTTTGTTATTTACTATTTTTCTTTTCTGTACGGAGCCTCCAGTGAAAGCGTTTTACATGATTGCGGAGCTGGAGGCAGAGCTGTATGAGGAGGAGCAGGAAGTGGGAGGGGTCTTGATTAGAGCCTAAATAGGGGGATTTGAGGTCTGAGCCTTTTTTGCCCTTACCTGTAGCAGAACCCTGTGCGCTCTACTGGACTAAGTCCTTGTCTGTGTAAATATGTGAGTGTCTTTTCTCTATGTACATTGATTGCAGTACCTTTTTAGTTATTTAAGTTAAAACGTATGAACATTGTGTTAATTCTAGTCTGTTAAAGAGTCACCAGATATTGCTTCCTTTGTATTAAATTTGTGTATGATAATAATATGTTGTATATATTTCTGTTTAGATCAAATAAAACAGCATGGATTCAGCCTCATCTGTTCTGCACCTGTCTACAATAAATCAGTTGAAGTGGATTCTCCTGGTGTATGATTGTGCCTGACCTCACATCATAGTGTTTGTCAGGTAACCAGCACACCCTCATGCAGTCCCGAATGGTAAATATATTACAATTGAACTTGTGTATTCAGACTGACAAACATCTTGAATCTGTGGGTATAGACGGGACAGATAACCTGTTGTTCATGGATTAAACTATTTGACATTGACTATCTGTAAAACAAACAAAAACTTAACAGTTGGAACCGAATGATTTATCGAATTCTATTTATCAGATAATTTCGTAGAGCTTAGACTTGTTTTATTAAATTAAGGTTAATTTATTGTCATTTAACAGCATACGGTTGCACAATGAAATGCAAGTTATAGTCCCTTTGTGCTAGACAAGAAGAACAAAACTATGTGATGGAATCTCACGGCCTGAAGAAAGAAGCTGCTCTGAAGTCTGGTGGAGCAGTAGCAAATAGTTCTGTAGCTCTTGCCAGAAAACCAGCAGGGTGAACAAGGATGTGAGTGTTGTCTGTAAACCTCCTTTGGGCTCTGTGCAGGCACCTCACTTCACCGATATCGGATGCTCGGTAAATGGATACCAATGACGATCCGATTTATTTTCATTGTGGTCCTGGCTAGAAAGTGGAGATGACCAATCTTCAAGACAATTAGTTTTGAGCAGTTAGCACATTGCATACATGTATGTGTATGATCAGTATCTGCTGTATTCAGTTGATCTATAACAGGGGTAGGAAACCTCACGTAGATTAACCAGTGGCATACTAGCAATCATTTAAGTTTTTTGGGTGGAATTAAAGAGCCCTCTCATCCACATGCCAAATTAACTCTTTAACAACAATTGGCAGTTGTGTCGCCTGTTATTTTTGGGAGTTCGATTTTTTTTTTTAATGTATTTTTTCACGTGCCCGCATTCTGCTGTTTTCAGTAGTTTGTCAGATGTTACTGAGAGTAAGAGCTTCAGAGTGCTCTCCTCTTAATTCCTGCTACCTACCTGATCCCAGTCCGGTAATTATCAGTGAATATGTGACCAGCATGTATTGGGGGGGTGTTCATAGTAAGCACAGAGGCCTGGAGGAGTTTCCCCGGGGACCAGTGACCTTATATGGCCGGGCCCTGCCTGCACGCCCACCAGTCAGTTGCTGGTGCTTCTCTGCCTACCTGACAGCTGAGCCGTCCATCAACCCACCCATATCCGTAACTGTCACAAACACAGGCTCTCAGGATAGTTCCTGTTTGTTGGGCTATCTCACTCATCTATAGCGCCATCTGTAGAAACTCAAACTTTTACAAACAAAGTCAAAAGCAAAACAAGTCACAGCCCAGATGGATAACTGAAAGGGCCTACAGGTCGACAGGGGGTCTCGGGTCAAGTGGCCCCCTCAATAGAAGTTCTGGTTGGAAAGACATATGGCTCAATTAGTGGTAGGGATGACCTGAATTTGTTTCTTTTTGCCCTTGACCCTGATCAGTCTGAGTATCTGCCAACAAAACCCAGTGGTGGAGGAAGTATTCAGATCATGTACTTAAATAAAAGTAGTGATGCCAAACTATAAAAATACACCGTTACAAGTAAAAGTCTTGCAAAATGTGCTGCTTGATGAATCACCGGCACAATTGTCACTAAAAGAAGATGCAAAATGACAAATTGAGATATTTTTGGTAATTTTGCATTCCTTTCAATCTGAGGGTCTTACTCCTATGTTTGAGGGACTTTTGTCCCATTGGGCCAATTGTCTAATAATCTGCTCTCAAGTCACAGTACTCCTTACACTGTTAGACTAAGGAAACTTTAAGAAGTCATACAAATACCATAAAAAAGGCTTTAAATAAAAAATAATTAAAGTTGGACATTCAGTCAATATTTATCGCCACTTTATCTAAGAAAAAGTGGCGAAAAAGAAAAAAGTCTTGCTATTTCTACTTTGCTGAAAACAGAAAGGGGCATTGTTGATCCCTCTCAACACACACACACACACACACACACACACACACACACACACACACACACACCTCCACACACACACACACACACACACTGCTTGTTCTTTAGATGCTATTTGTTTGCAGTTACTTTAAGCTGCTGAGCTTCGGCTCCACTGATTTCCACTAAAAGCTGCTGTAAAGAAGTAAATGCATCTTAAATTGATTGTTTCCTAAAAGCTTGTTCCTCCACAGGCTTAGCTAACGTGACATTAAGACTAATGCTAGTTCATACAAGGACCACCAACTTAATCTGACTGAATGGACAAACTAATCTGTGACATGGTGTCATCAATACAACATAAGAACACAAGGTGAATCAGTAGTATTTATATCAGTCATTTCTTTTTCTGTATTTGATATTTAAAAATTATTTTAACATAAGTAAAATATACCTGTATTTGAAGTTATGATCAGTAGATGATTGCTGAATTACTCAGTTGTTGAACTCCCCAGTCAGCGATCCAGTAATTAGGCCTCAATGGGAACAATGGAAGGGATAGATGATTTCAAAATAACAGGGAATGGCCAATCACTTCGACAAGCAGTTTAATTTAATCACAGCGACAGAATTATCTAATATATATTAGTGTCTTTTATTTATTGAGCTATCTATTAAGTCATCTTTAAAGAAAGGTGGTGAGATTTGAAGAGCCTATAATTATAATGGATTTCTTTGACATGAAAACTGGTTTAAAATGTGAAGAAAAAACAATCAATACATATCAATACATATCCATAAACCTATCTAATCCAATATATTTGCATGTGAGGCTCAAACACAAACTGTTAAAGTAAATAATAATAATTAATGTCCACAAAAAGCCTTCGGCTTCACGGGTTGGGTCAAACATATCAAAGTAAATCCCAATAAACACAATAAATAAACCGTTAATGTCGTTAATAATCTGTCATAATCTTGTCTCTCTCCTCACGTACGCAGTTCATCTCTCCGACAGATAGGTGGCCTTGTCCCGGGCAGGACATCACGGCCAGCTCCGGTGCCGCGGTGTATGGTGGGAAATATGGGATCAGGTAAGCTGCTCCTCTACTGCATGGTCAATTCACTCGCACATATCTGGACAGATGCAGGAAGTCATGATAATTTGCCTTCAAAATAAAAGCGTTGCGTTTTTTAATGTAATATAACGAGGGGATAAACCTGTCGCGTTCTATGTCAGTAAGACATATCTGTAATGTTATTGCACAAAACCTAGAATAATTTATGTATTTCACAGTTACTTTTACTGCTTATGTAGTTGTGAGCCCTGCCGTCATCCCATATTGTTGTTTTCACACTGTAGGATAAACGGCCCATTAACACCTTAAGTTAAAGTTAAAATATTAAAGCTGTAAGTTGAAGACTGACACCTGTAATGTATTGTCACTCTCGGATTTGGTGAACAATTACTGGTGGCAAGATAGAGCAGCCATACCTATTAGACAGTCTATACATAATGCAGTAGTAAAATGCACCAATATCTGCAGAAGACTTGTTTTACTTTGAAGGTGAGAGCCGGAAGTTGGATGTGTTGTTATGCTAGCTTAATGCTAATGTGTCTGTGATGAGAGGAGGAGCTGAGAGGAGCAGGTGAATCATTTACAGTTATATAGTTTCTTACTGTCCCACCTGTTCAACAGTGAATAAAGTAAACACTACTGTAAGCAGAAATGTTCCACTGTACATGACAAGTTCCGTTTTCCAAATAACAATAGTAACAATAGGTCAGAGTGGACAACGAGACGAAACCACGCCGCCGGAGCCTGGATTTAGCAGGTAGGCTATAAATAACTTTTTGTTCACGTTAATGTCAGATGAAGCCTGTTCGCCGGTGTGTTTACATCGTGTTTCCGAGAGTAATTCACATCCTTTGAGAAGCGTTTATGTGTTGTTTAGTACAGCCGATGATTGTTCACCAAAGAATGAACAGAAATATCTCGTAATGTGACGCAGTCGTCATTATATCAGAGAAGCTTGTGTTGGGTTTAAGTTTGACTAAAAATTCATTATTCCTGACATGTGAGTAAACACACCCTGAGGCCTGTAGCGCCGCCCACAGTAGACGCAACATATGGAGACTGTTTGTTTTCATACATTTCAACGCTTAATGTTATGTAGTTAAGAAAACAACACGTTGGTTATCGTTTTGTATTGTTGTACAGTCGTAAACGGTCTGCTCCTATGCATGTACTTCAACATAACCACCCATATACCCACTTCTCTCAGAAAAGAGGAAACTAAAAACCATCACGTGTGTGTGTTTAGTAAAGTTGCTGACAGTTAGTATTGTCTTTACCATTTTCTTGTTACTGTCTATGAGACAAAAGTATTGAATTTCAAATATTGGGCAGAAGCCATGTCTTGATCATCTTTATCCATCTTTATCCATCTCCATACATTTACATTAATTACGAGATTGAAGTGAAGTTAATGAGTGAAATCAACAATAACTTGCAGAACAAGTACGAGTTAAAGCCAAGTTCATATCAAAAGAACAGTGTACTGACTTTGAAATACTTCAATTGAGAATTGTTTGCTGGTATAATTTAAAGTTGGCTTGCATGCAGAGAATGTGCCAAAAAAAAACAATATTCATACTTTGGGAGAGTGGTCTACTGGTACAGTACTTCTACTGCAATAACTAATACTGCTACTACTATTAGTACTACATCTACGAGTACTCGTACTGCTGCTTCTGCTACTCTACTACAACTATGTCATGACTACCAATACTACCACTGCTTTTACCACTACCTCTTCCATTACTATTATATATTACTACAGCTGTTGAATATACCACTACTTATACTGACACTATTACAACTACTGCTACTAATTCTTCTAGTAGTACTTGTGCTGCTGCTACTAGTGCTAATGGTATGCCGCTTCTACTAATACTACTACTGTAGTGGTACTTGTACTGCTTCTAATACTACTTCTATGCCACTACTACATCTGCCACTTTTACTATTGTATTACTTCTACTACTATCTACCACTGATCTTAAATAGTCTACTATTTCTACTGATACCACATGCTTTTACTGCTTCGACCTCTACTGCTCCTTTTACTTCCACTACTACAAGAGCCACAATAATCACTTCTTCTACTATTTATGTGTACGTCCTCTTTGTGCTGTTCCCAGGTCAGTTGCTGTGAGAGGAGGATCCTCATAGCTGGAGTCATGTTGTCGGCGGAGGAGATCCTGTGCAACACTCAGCAGGTGATCGCCGGGCTGGAGGCGCTGAGAGGAGAGAACCGCAGTCTGCTGGAGAACCTGCAGGAGGCGATGGAGAGCCGGGTGGCGCCAGAGAGCGGCAGCGTGGAGCAGGAGAAGAGCGGCATCATCCGCCAATCACTGGAGAGGATAGAGCTGGGGCTGAGCGAGGCCCAGGTACGCAGTATTGGAAGTAGTATTCACTCAACTGCTTTAGCAGGCAGCTGTTCTCTGTGATACAGATGTTAAAAAACCCACCGTACGCTACCCGCTGGGCACCAAATCACAGACGGGGCCCAGTTAGCCACTTGCTGGTGGACATAGTGAAGCATTTAGCAGCTGAAGAGACAGAAGGTTTTTTCTCAGGAGTTGGTGGAGACCAAAGCAGAGCTAAAAGGAGCGTGAATACTGGACGTATATTCTTCAGCTTCCCAGACAAACGACTCCAGGGGAGTGCTGATGTTGCTACATTTCATCTGGACGTGTCAATAGGCAACTTTGCAATATCAACTTTATAAGGTGTTGTTTTCAACACTCAAGCAATTCAAAGAGGAGGCGCATTAAAGGTACACAAGTACAAAGAAAACATTTTCAAGTAAAAGTTGGATTTAGGATTAATGAGTGCAGAAATGGCATCTGTACATCATCATCTGTACATCAACTGTGGCTCAGTGGTTCGATCTCCGGCTCCGCTAGTTCCTGTCGATGTGTCCTTGGGCAAGACACATATGGTATGAATGTTAGTTAGTTCTCATGGTTGCCCCTGTCCTCAGTGTGTGAATGGGTGAATGATGACATGTTAGTGTAGCACAAGGCATTTCCCACGTGATGTTTCAGTTGTCTCCCGTCCCTCCAGGTGATGATGGCGTTGTCGGCTCATCTGGGTTCCCTGGAGGCGGAGAAACAGAAGCTGCGTGCTCAGGTGAGTTTCTGCAGGACGCGTTAGAAAAAGAGAAGAATAACTGAAGAGGTAAACGAGTAGATGGGAGATTCTCTGACGTCGTTAAATCCTTCATTGTGTTTTTTTGACCCTAAAGAAACTTATGCTTACTGAAATCCTCCTTCTTCATACTCATAACCCACGCCTCCTTATTTTCCTACCTCCTTTCACCTTTGTCCTCCTTTACTCTGCCTCTTCCTTCACCTCCAACTACTCATTCCTCTCTTCCTTTTCCCTCTTTGTCCTTTGTCTTTCCTGTCCTCCCTCATGTCATTTTATCAATTCTCCATCTTTTCCTCCCTCCTTCATTTCCTTCCCCTCTCCACCATCTGCTTTCCTTTCTTCTTCCTTTCTCTCCCCACTCCCCTTTCTTATTATTTTCCTCCCCCTACTTTGTCGCCTCCTCCTTCTCTTTCTTCGTGTCCTCCTCAGGTGCGTCGTCTCTGTCAGGAGAACCAGTGGTTGAGGGACGAGCTGGCCGGTGCTCAGCAGCGGCTGCAGGACCGAGAGCAGGAGGTGGTCACCCTCGAGGAGCAGAACAGACACCTGCAGTTCATGTCGTCCATACGCAAATACGACCTGGAGGAGCCGCAGCTGGTGAGGAGACCAACAAAAACACGCTAACGCAAATGTGTGTGTGTGTGTGTATTTAGGAAGAGTTTGCTCTCCCTACATCACCAGCCAGTTAGGGCTTCACAAAGGATCAGATGTGGGGAAAAAAAGACATCTGGATTTTTCTGTATGTCTTCAGGGAAACCATGCGGAAATTTGAACGTAATTCAGTTACAACCGAAGAAAGGTATTTAGTCGGTGTAGTCAGGACAGTCGACTTTGAAACTGGTTCTTAAAGCTGCAGTAATTAGGCTCGTTTGAGATGAGCCAGAATTGATCACAGGCGATCGCCGCTCAATGCATGCCGGTTAGATTCGTGTCCGACTTGCTCTGATGTCATGAACACGTGGTCAACGATTACCTCACGGGATTGGGCCGCAGGTTTTAGAGCCAGGTGCGGGAGTTGCTCTCCACCGACTGCATGACCCAATGACTGCATGACCCAATGACCCAATGCATGATGGTCATCACCAGATCGAAGAGCTGATGAATAAATCCAAACGAGGTCTGTAAACTACAAGTAGCCTACAGATCGGATCCAACAGGAAGTAACTATTTCTGTGACTTCCTGTTGATTCTTTGAAGGCAGCTGAAAACTGTCCGACTTGACCGCAGTTTTTTTTTTCAATGCCCCTTGCTGCTGCCGGCTGCTCTCGTCCACACTTCAGGCGAGGAGCTGCTCATCTCGAACGAGCCTATTGTCTCTGTGGGCCTCTAGGGTACAGAACAACTCCACAACCAGCTGACACACACAGCCTGACACCGTATCACCCCAGTCGATATGGTTGATGTGTTGTTGTTGGAAACCGTTACCTATTAACACATCCGTTAGACTTGCCTTTAGCTGTGGTTTGGTCTCCATGAGGGAAATATCTGTCTGTAAATATTTGGTGCTGGTCGGGTATCTTACAGTGGATTTATTAGTGCTTGCTGAGTGTGTTTGTGTCTCACTTCAGGACGACAAAGACGCGTCTTCCACCAAAGAGTCTCTGGATGACCTCTTTCCTACCGAGGACGAGGAGCAGTCGCAGAGTAAGACTTTAATGTGCTTTTTATCATTCCCAGCATAAATGTGACATTCTCAAGGAGAGGTTGGTCTAAATGAAGGAGGGTTAGCTTCATCACAAAAGAATCTCCAGTCACCTTGATTTTGTCAGGATTGTGGAAGAACCTCAGACAGTCTGACTGCATGGGTAGAAACCACTGGTGGGGAAATGTTTTAGTAATTTGGGTGAACTGACTTCTAATGTCGATGTGGTTTCCCCTGTTTTAACCCTCATAATGAGCTCAACCTCACTGTTTATGGGTAGATTCTTTGCAAATCTCTCTAATTAACATGATTTTCTCATCCAGCTAAATGTGTTTACACAATCAGTTTGTTAATTGAGTCTGAAATCTTCTTTTTGTTTATGTATCGGTTGCTGTCGGGATGTAAAGATCATTTCTGCAGCTATAACAAAGTCTTCTTGAAGATTACCAACCCCAGCTTTAATGCATCTGATTTAATTCATTGACTTACTTTAATGAAATGTGACTCAAACTTGCAATCTGCTTACATCAAGTCCACGCTCATAGCAAATTCTGTACATTTGTCTGTTTGTTGCTGTTCAGTGTCGCAGCCTCACCACAGCAGTGCAGCAGCCGCAGCCCAGCAGGGCGGCTATGAGATTCCCGCCCGCCTCCGAACCCTCCACAACCTGGTCATCCAGTACGCGTCCCAGGGTCGATACGAGGTCGCTGTGCCGCTCTGTAAACAGGTGAGAGAGCGGCGTTCGCCTCCAACTGGTCCCCTGCATAGTAGCTGAGAACCGTTTGCCCAACGAGAGCATATGAACCATTATGTCCAGATCAAACGCCTTGTTTCGATGTCTCACCAGGCTTTGGAAGACCTGGAGAAGTCCTCAGGCCACACCCACCCAGACGTAGCCACCATGCTGAATATACTGGCGCTGGTGTACAGGTGAGACCAGTCATAATATTACCTGAGGACCTCATGAGATTCTGTTTCATACGACACATTAAAACAGGAGTCTGTATTTCACTGACATTATCCCCCGTTATGATGTCACGGCTCTGCGTAACATCTGCTTGTATAAAAATATTATTCTATTTAATGTTTGTATTAAATATGTATTATATTATGTGAGACTATTTATGTTTATATGATACTCTGCTCCGGTTCAGAATGGGTCTCACTACTGTGTAGCGAGATAAGCCTCCTGAATTGGCTCCCAAAATGCTGACAAAGCGTTCTTTCTTAATTGCCAACGCAATTAAGAAAGAGGCTGAAAAACAAAATAAAAGAAATTTGACCCAAAATTACAGGGATGGACATGACCCGTGTGTTTGGCAAGATATAGTAGGTAGTCTGTGGTGGAATGTTTGTGAGGCAGAGGTGACAGAAAAACTATATATTTGTGGTATTGATCGATATTGAGCAAATTAATTCATAAAACTTTAACTGAAGTTTGAGGTTGTTAGATCTGACAAATGTCTCCACACTTTGTCTAGGTCACTGGATAATGTATTGTTCTAAACATCTTCTATAACCTTAAAACTCTCTCTGAAATAAAATGAGCGGGACTGAAGAACACAACAGTGATATTGTGTGAAACATTTGATTTGAGGTGACGAACGGTGTGACGTGTTTTTCTCTACAGAGATCAGAACAAATACAAAGAGGCAGCCAACCTGCTGAATGACGCGCTGGCGATCAGAGAGAAAACTCTCGGAATGGACCATCCGGCTGTAAGTTAGCCTCCTTTGATAGACCAGCTGCAGTCTGACCACACACACTGACTCTAACCTCAACTAAGTGCTCGGTATTTCAGCCTCCAGCTCATTTGGTTTCCGGGTGCGCTGCCTGTTGATATTACCCCAAAAATATCATATATTTAAGGTTTTTAGTGTGGTTTATGAGACTTGGTATGTAACGTGCGTTGTGTGTGTTTGTGCAGGTGGCAGCAACGCTCAACAACCTGGCAGTGCTTTATGGGAAACGAGGGAAATACAAGGAAGCAGAGCCGCTGTGTAAAAGAGCTCTGGAGATCAGAGAGAAAGTGAGAGAATACACACAGGGTTACAGTAGTTAAAGTTAGATTTTAGATTAAAACAGTAATGTTTTGAACACAGGACTATAACTTATAACAGTATAAGTATTTTTAAAGTGTTGTATCGCTGTTACGTCTTATATGTCGTCCGTGTTCCATACTGTAATTATTGAAAGAATAATGTATTTTGTTTCTGTATCTCAGGTTCTGGGTACGGACCACCCAGATGTGGCCAAGCAGCTGAACAACCTGGCTCTGCTGTGTCAGAACCAAGGGAAGTACCAGGAGGTGGAGCAGTACTACGAACGCGCTCTGCACATCTACCAGAGCAAGCTGGGCCCAGACGACGCCAACGTGGCCAAGACCAAGAACAACTTGGTGAGCGGACGCCTTGATGTCGGGTCTGGTTTCTGTCAAATGTGCCGCTGTCCGCCGTCAAATCATCACGGTCAAGATCGTCACAAAGGAGATGACAAATCGTAAACTATAAGTTCTTACAATGGAGAAAGTTTTTGTAAATTCTTTCTTCGTTTCTTTTCTTTGTTATAAATGTGAAGTGTGAATGCTGCAAAATGTTGTTGTTGTTTTTCTCTCCTCACTGAAATCTTCTCTTTCTTCTACTTCCCTGTGTCTTTGTTGTTCCTTTGTTGTGTCTTTGTTGCTCCTCAGGCGTCGTGCTATCTGAAGCAGGGCAAATACAGACAAGCTGAAGCCCTCTACAAAGAGATTCTCACCAGAGCGCATGAAAAGGAGTTTGGATCTGTAGAAGGTGCAAAAGTGTTTGTTGTTGTTTTACTGCAGAGTTATTATATATTTTGATGTAGGCTTATCCTTTTGGTTTATTACATGTCTGCCTCCACATGCTGTATTTTACAATGATTTTAATGAAACTTTGGGGAAATGACGTGGTACCCGTGGATGTGGATTGTTACAGGCTATGGAGTCATCATATGTATTGTTTTAACACTGACTTAACTATCGTCTACTGGACACTAAGAGGTGTGCCATTGATTTTGACTAGGATTATTTTGACAGTATCTCGCAATGTTAACGAAAGTGAAAAATGATTTGTGTATCTGCCTCGTGATTTCGCATCCATTCCAAAGTGTAATTGTCTCTCCCTTGGCCCATGACGCACCCTTCAGGCTTCATTAGAAGCAGCGAGGGGGATGATACCATCTTATTGTGATATGCTGAGTATTTCACTAACGTATATATTGCGATTTATTACCTTTTAATAATTGCAAATTATGCAGTTTGTCATCTAATAAGATAAAGTCTTCACTGACTCCATCAGACTTCAATCATTTTTATTTAGGCAAAAAGGGGGTTGTTCAAATAAAGTTGTTCAAATAAACAGATGAGGTAATGAGTGCACGACCACAAGGGATCTACTTTACCATATGATCTAAAACCACTACATTGGAAGTGAAAACAGGCAAATATTGGCAAACTAATGTATTACAGATAGATTTTGTTCACAACTTAAACCTTTTGTATGCGCCCTCGCTGTATGTGCACGATGATGTGGTCTGTGGAGAGGCTCTTTTCCTTAAAGCTTTTGAATGATCAGGTTACTTCATTTGTACTCGATGGTAGATTTGGTTTTCAGTAGACGAGCCGTCCATATTGACTTACATTTTACAAACAACGCTGAAATAGACAGATTGATAAAAGAACTCAAGGCTTAAGGTGATGTGATGTAGCACGAGTAGAGAAAAGTCAGCAAATTGGCAAGTTTGCAGACATTACTCTCAGTCATCCTCTGGTCACACCAGAGCAAGTAGAGCTTTAGCAACACTACCTCTGAGTTACTGAGCTGAGGGAGCTTAATTGCTCATGAAGTCAACTTTTCTCCAAAGATTCATAGTCTCACTTAAACGGCGAAAAATACATCTAGGTGTTAAAGTAAACAGCTCATTTTGCATCAGTTAAAGTGCACCATGATGTACTTCTGTGTGTGTCCGAAGGAGCATTCTGTATGTTCAAGCACCGGTTTGTTGTCTGTCTGTCCGTACTACAGGCGATGGTCGTCCCAGCTGGTCCGGTGCAGAAGACGGTGGCTCCGGACAGGATGAACTCAGTAACCTGAAGCGCAGCGGCTCTTTCACCAAACTCAGAGAGTCGATTCGCAGAAGCAGCGAGAAACTGGTCCGCAAGCTGAGAGGAGTCGGCATGGAGGAAACTACCCCGAGGAATGCTGGGTAATATTCTGTTACGAAGGTGTTAATCCCCCACCGTACGTCCAACTGTAGCAGGAACCAGGAGGATTTCACCATTTTCAAATCAGTAAAACTGAGATTGTAGACGTTTAGTGTGTGTTTGATTGGACTATGTCCTTTTATAAAAAGGTATGTATGATATGATATTCTGTGGTGTTTTCAGGATAAAGAGGGCAAAGTCTCTGAATGTGTTGAATGTTGGAGCCATAGAGAGTCAGGACGGGGCCCAGGTGAGCAGACCGGTGGTGATCAGATCAGTCTAACAGTGATGACGTGCACATACAGTACTCACGCTTTTCAATTCAGTGGTTTATTTGGTGCTAAATGCTTATTGTTGTGATGTTTCTGCTCATCACTATTTATATTTACTTCCTGAGAATGTATTTCATGGATTGTTATCAAACACGTTTTCCATTAATATGATCAGTGGTAGAGGAAGTATTCAGATATTTCACTTAAGTAAAAGTGGCACAATGTAAAGATACTCCACTACAGGAAACGTCCTGCATGTGAAGTATGTAAGTATAATAAGGAAACAATCTAAAACCTTCTCAGACCCTTTTCATACACTTTATGACCCTAATCGCCACTTTGAGTCCTAACCAGTTACATTAGCAACACATTACAGTGATCGTATTACAGCTAAACTAACTCATTGGACCACTGTATCAATGTAACCTAACCCAGGTAGGTGTGGTGACTAAGCACAGGGAAAAGATTTGAGCGACTAATAAATCTTGCATTGGTCAGAGTGATGCAAGTGATGCACACGAGCGAAACCAAATCCATAAAACACACACACATAGTATAGTATGCCTTAAAGAAACATGCTATATTATAGCATAGCATAGGAAAGTAGGTAGTAGGTGTTTAGTATAGTATCTCACAAGTATTGTGTGCCATGAAATTATATCATCATATACAGTATTTCCAAGAAATATTATAGTACAATAGTATAGTATGTCATAGTTCAATGCCGTCTTAGTACAGTATGCCATGAGATATTTTTAACAATGTATTATATTGGCCTACTTTGCCATAAGAAAGTTATAGTATGTCAAAAAACTCTTAGTATAATATGTCAAAAAGATTCAGGGAAAGCAGCCTGATAGCCAGACTTACTTGGAGAATGTCGGCCTATTAATAGATAAATTAAAGCAACAGAGATTTAGAAAATTGGACAAAAAATGTCAGATTCTAAATGTTATCCTTTTACTCGTCTATGGTGGTTATTTGCATAAAACATAATTCAAAGGATTAGGAAATAAATTACTTTGTTTTTATTAAAATATTTGCTTTGAACATTTTTTCGGGAATTAGTAGTTCTAACTATATATTATGGAGATAGTTTAACAGGTCGTAACTCTCTCTGTAATATCTACTTTCTTCTCTATCATTACATACGTTTCCCGTCAAATACTACATTTGAACACATCCTGATAACGCTTTAATTCACCGTTACCTCGGTTTCACTGAGTGGAGCTTGAACACACAATAATGTAAATCTGCTGCTGGCTCCTATAAGCAGGACTGTGGTAGGGAGCGCCTCTGTGCTGTCGGTCACTGCAGTCACAGGATGCATGGGAATGAATTACAATGTTATAGGCCTGTGTGTCTGATGAAGTTAGTTGGTACACATGTTGCTCTGCTGTTTAACCAAGAAGGTGTTTTGCCAGCTAACGGCTAACTTTAATTACTGCTTCTGCTAATTTTAGCGGATTTGTTGTTCACAATGGAGCATTATCAGTGATCGATAAAAGAATTTGGAAAAACTTGTGAAGTTTTAGTATGGTTTATTAAAAAAATGAAAAAAGCCAAAGTACAATATGGCAAAAAAGTCTTAATAAAGTCAAATTACAGTGTGAAAGTCATAGTACAGTATGTCGAAAAGAAGTAAAACCACTGACTAAAGTATGTGGAAAGACTCTCCCTCGTTAACCTCCACTTTATCTGTTTCCTGTTCCTCAGTCGAGCTGCTTGACGGACGTTCGAGGCCTGAGCTCCAGCACACAGAGCCTGACGAGAAGAGGTTCACTCGGTGGTTCCAGCTAACGCACACATTACCCGGGAAGATGTTCACAAATGTATCCGACACCACCGTGGATGCCCCACTTTGAGTCACCTTAAGGAAAACGGAGACATCTCATTTATTCACTATCCCTCATTTGAAAAAGAAATAAGAAATTAATGTTTTCATGGCCATTGAGGAAGCGTCTCCAAACAACCAGTAGGACGGTGTGGTCACACGCTTTGACATTACATATTGCACTATAAGCTTTCCTTCCTGTTCACTTGAAATTCAATATCATTCCTTCTTCCTGGATTCATGTTAGAAACGAGCTCAGTGTCCTCAGAAGTTAAAGAAAAGAAATCATGTTCGACTACTTTAAAGAACACTGTTTTACGGCAATCTGCTGAAGATTAATCAGCAGATTGACGTTACCGATTACTTTTTAATCTGTTTGAATTCTCTTGAGAAGCAGGGATGTGAAATTGCACAACTATGAAACCGTAAATGTTACAGTTGGTTTAAGACGGAGATGTTAAGCTGAAGTTAAACTTCTTTAGATGTGTTTTGCCTTTACAACGTGCAGGCCACTCATTATACGATGCCGTCAAAGCGCATCATAAAACTGTTTACGTGAGCTGTTCTGTGACAGTTCAGTTTAGTCGTTCCACATGACGGGAACGAAATGACCGATTAAGGACCAACTTTAAAACACAAACACCAGCTGAACAAAATGAACGCACATATCTGACTTGATGGTAGCTGGTACTATTCCTAAAAGATGGATATTTTTGCAAATTTATATTCAAATTATTTATTTATGATCTTTTTTCATAGTGCTAAAAGATACTTATCACAAGTTAATATATGTTCTGCTCAATCAAACTAGGATGGCCTCGTGCTGAATGACTCATGTTCAAAGAAGTTATGAGCCAATCTCTGGTGAACAATGTTTAAAGTGTGCTTTTGTGGAGAAACTCAGTTTCACAGATCTGTTGATTTGATTCAGCCTGTAGTAAATCAATCAACACTCAGTTATGTATTTGTCACATTGTGAGTTAACATTTGATTCAGAAAATTGTTTTAAGATATCTGGATTCCCTGAGTTATTGTTGTGCCTGAGTCAATGTTGCACATTTTGGCTTTGTATTGGGGCATTCTGGACAATGTTCAGCTTATCGTTTGCACATAATTGACAACATTTTCCTTAAATGACTCAGTTGAACGAAGACTTCACAGTTGAACCATCTACTCAAAGCCGCTCTGTGGACGACTGAAGCCACAGATGTCTCAGCAGGCTGTATACAAGCTCAGACACAAAGTTAGTGGTGAACCTGTGAAGACAGTCAAACACGTCGCAGCTAAAGTGCAAACCAGAGATACAAAGAGAGAGTTTTGCAGTCATCTGACCCATAGGGGTAAAAATAGCAATTTTGAGCGGAGGTCGCCCACATTAGTGTCTATTTCATCTACGCTCCACTGAAATCCGCAACTGACTATTATACTTTTAATGTGACAGGTTTATGTGTGCTCTTTGAATTTGTAATAATTACTTGAAACTCATGACGTGAACAAAGTCATTTCTATGTTGCTATGCAGACAGAGCATTAAATAACTCATTTTAAAACTCCTTTAATCCTCAACAATGTTCAAAATAAGATAATGAGGTGCAGCTAGGAAATCTTGCTCCATGAAAATGTTACCACCGAATCCTCGGGGATTTGTTTCCCACAAAACTCAATCTTCCGTTTCATTTTGTTTTTTATTCAAACATTCTGTGAATCCTGGTTTTCCAGGATGGAGAACTGTATCTGCTGGTTCAATGTAAGGGCTGGAATCACACGGTTAGTTCACTGTAGAGACCACAGTGTGTTCATGAAACACTGTCAGAATGTTACATATAAACACATCTCCTGATGCTGTCTTTATTCTGGTAAATATGAATCTTTCTATTTTATATTTGAAAACTTGAGCTGAAATAAATTACAACACGCTGTTAAAACTATACGAGTGTTTGCCTGCAGTTATTGCTTTGTGGTTTATGTCTCAGTATCATCTTCACCTTTCTGCTTGAACAGCTACTATAAAGTCAGATTGTTCATTTATTCCCTGAAGACGGGCCGGGATGGAAAGGCCTCGTTCCTAAGAAGAAGAACTCAAGTCAACTGTTCAAAACAAACATTTATATTCAAACTTCCTGGTTGAAAAACAGATACAAAAGTTCGGTATAAAATGTGAGTGTACAGCAGCAAAAGAAAGGCCCAGTCGTCCTGTCTGTATGACAGACGACATCTGGACCGACATTACACCCACAGATGAACACACGTGACCCGCCGGTGACGGCTGTTCACATGTCAACACTGCTCGTCTTGTGTACGTATCCGCACGATATGTGTCAGAAGTGGAAATTCAGCACCGTGGAGAGGAATGTCACTGTTGATGGTAAATGTATGATGTATGTATTATCTACAATGAAGTTTTAGCAGCATCGAGCTGAAATAGAAGCCTGTACTACTTCCAATGGATGATGGATGTTGGGAAACCAACAGCTGCAACTGGGAACTCAGCTTTCTGGGTCAATATAGCTCAAGCTGAGGAACTGACACATGAAGCACATTTAAAGAGCTGTGGTGCTAAATATTCTGTAGACTTCTTGTGTGTGTGTGTGTGTATGTGTGTATGTGTATGTGTATGTGTGTGTGTGTGTGTGTGTCCTGAAATACAGAGGCTCAGAACTTTGGTGCTCTGTAATTACGGTACACTGAGTGACAGTTATTCCGTCTGAAATCATCACTGTAACCACCAGAGCTGGGCCAACATGTGTTTTAAATATGGTTCATGGTTTGTTCACCACAAAGAGAAAGAAGAGGTAAAGAGGTTCATTCTGCTGGTGATAACCAACACTCTCTGACACATATCTACTTTAACTGTCCTGGTGAACTCCGTACACCGAGCACTGCAGACGGGTTCAATTGAACTCAGTTCCCTTGATGTCACTGTAACGGGTGATGACATTGTACACGCAGTGTAGTTATGTCACCTTCAGGTCTGGTGAGCGATCTGACTGATTTTCTTCAGCATCTCTTCTGACTGCAGCTGCTCGAAAGTCAACAGAGACAGACCCAGCTGGTCCTCCTGGAGAGAGACAGAGTGAGAGAGAGGTCAACATCGGGATACCAAGAAGGTGATCAAACACCGTCTGGTCAACAACTCTGTGTGTCTTGCTACATCACTCTTCAGCCTGCTGAGGACCTCTAGTGAATCATCCTGTTTGCTCTGCAGCTCACAGTAATAATAGGACACAGTGTGAAGCTGTTATCTGTTAAACGCAGGCTTTTTACTTGCTCTGTACTAGAATTACCGATGACGCAGTTTACATCCATATCTGTCCAAAATGACATCCCTTCATCGTTTTATCTTCTTAGTTATGACCGTCACACAAACGTCTAACGAAACCTGCTTTGTGAGGTCAAAATGACCTTTGACCTCACAATATCAGTTCCTCCAGACGGACGGCCCAAACATAATGCATCCAGTCACGGCACGAGGCATAAACACAAGTGGCTGCTAAACACTGGCCAAGTTAAACTTGAGTTATTGTATCAAAAGCTTTTTCACTCTTCTGTTTATTCCATCTCACCCAATGTTACAAATGATTGTCCTGCAGCAGCTCAAAAAACCTGATAATTATTCATATCGGCCAAAGTATTCATTCAACCCATTGATGAAAATGTCCTGTAGACACAAGAGGCACTGAAGTGCAGACTGCACACATGGCCTCTCTGGACGTTTTGCATCTCACAAAGATCATGAAATATTTATTCTGTGATGACAAGAACATGGTTTATACATCCGATTATGCTGTAAAATTATCATTTTGAGATTTCAAGAAAACACTGTGTTGCAATCATGAGATAATTTAATTGTAGCAAACTAAAATCAAACATCTTTACATTCCAACTTCTGGTTTAAACTTGCTATGTTACTTTTGCAATTAATATTTTTATCTTTTTATTAGTTTTGCTTTTAAATTTCCTTTAGTTAACAACGAGGGATAGCTGCACAGATATATAAACGTGAAGCACAGATGGTGGACTCGTGTGGTGCTTGGCGGGCGTACCTGTCTGAACGGCTGAGCCATCTGTCTCAGGAAGTGCTTGGAGAGCTGGACGGCCTCGTCCACGGTGAGGTTCAGACTGCCGTCGGTGATGTGCTCCTGAATCCAGCGAGGCAGCTTCCCACGTTTGTCTGCTCGGGCGTAACGCTGCGGACGGGAGAGGGAGTCGTCTCACTCAATGAAACCACCAACTGCTCCAGTGAAGCTACTTCAAATCTGAAATCTAAAGACGGTTTCTAGGCGTGTTGTTTCTGCCGTAGGACATCACGCACCTTGTCGGCGAAGATCATGAGTCCGTAGTCTGTCTTGCCTCGGATGGCTCTGCCCACACACTGGGCGGCGTGACGCATGGCGTCAAACGTCAGGAAGTCGTTCTCTCGGATCTGAAACTGATCGCGAAGGTACTCCAGACGAGCCTGAAACACGCGAGTCAGAGAGGAAGAGAGAACGTAAAGCTGAGGACAGAGCGACGGCAGTAAAGACTGAGAGGTCAGACTGAGGACAAAGGGCATTTCAATAGAGAACGTTCATACACGAGCATCCGTGCATGAATATTATAGAGTGAAGTGAAATCACTCCCTTGTTCACTCATTCAGTTCATTCTGTAGTGAGCAGATTTTGCTTAGTGACTTAGTGACTTCACTTGCTCAAGAAAAAGTGACTTGGGACATGCACCGAGACTTTGACTAACTGACTTGAGTCACATGGTACAAGCCATGAACACAGTATTGGTTGTAATGTAAATGTTGAGGACTGTGTAATGTGAGTGAGTTCTGACCTTCAGGATGCGGCTCTGTGTGTAAACATAAGGCACTCCGAACATGATGACCGCCCGGCCAAAATGGTGCACTGCACAGAAAACAGAACAAGATTGAAAGTGACTATTTTGAGGAACTCGACAAACTGCCCGACTAAAGGAGAAGCATTCACTAAATCTGTATTTAGTCTGTAACCATAAAGCAGTGTGTCGCGTACCAAAATCTATTCCTTCAGACACCTTTCCTCTCGCCACCGACAGCAGGATGGCTCCTCTGCCGTTCTCACACGCCTGAAGAGCAGAGAGACACGCAGAAAGGTCAGAGGTCAGACGTCTGAGACCCACCGGGACAGAAGAAGATGAAACATTAAGTGACTTTGCTTTTGTTTCTTTCTTAGAGCTGCAACGGTCAACTCTTTTGATAATAATCAATTAATCATTTAGCAATTTCCTTTTTTTCTCAGTTTTATATCATATTGAACCGATTATTTTGGATTTTTAATTCCTTTACAGCAATGCTGATGCTAAATGTAACAGAGACATTGTGTCGTCCATTTTCACATCCCAATTACCGATGTCTGTGACATGAATAATAATAATAATATGTGTAAAGTGACCTCGTGGTATTTCTCCAGGGCCATGCTCGTCTCTGCAGCATCCGGAGTCTCAATGAAGATCAGCTTGTTCCTCTGGATGTTCTCCAGGATACCCTGCAAACAAACGTGTACAAAAACTCATGGATGCAACAACTTACCCAGAATGCATGCTGATGCAAACAGTATTCCGTTTCAATGATGCAAACATTTTAAACATCATCAGTGGTGGTATTATGGTTATACGTGAGAAGATAACTTAGGATCTATCTTTAAAAGAAGCAGGTGTGTGTGTGTGTGTGCTGCGTCTGTCCAAACACTGACCTGTTCATACCAGGATGCCACTATGTTCTCCATGTACACGTAGCTGGTGAAGAACGCCACGATGCCGTCGGGAACGATCGCAGACATCTCTAGGAGTAGGTTGCCATAGTTACGAATCACAGCTGGAAACAAAAAAAGAAAAATGGACGACGTATTTGGGAAAAAAGAAAAAAAAAATGATTTTGTCCTGAAAAAGACAAAACATGTCGTAGCTGAAACTCTCCAAAAAAACATGTTTTATATCTATGGCGATGTAATGTGATACATTCGACATATCTCTACTCACCAAAGTCTTCTCTGGTCTCAAACTTTGAGCTCAGGGCCACCTGATCGTTTCCTCTGCCAACTATCTGTGTGGGACAAACAGAGGAAGAAAGAGATTATTAAAGAACAACTCCGTATCAATATATAGAATATAAAAGTGTAGAAATGTGATGCTGTGTTGTTTTTATGTCACAATCAGTCGATTTCAGCCCTCGTCTGGTTCCGTAATTCCTTCTGCAAATCACAACAGTGTGTGTGTGTGTGTGTGTGTGTGTGTGTGTGTGTGTGTGTGTGTG